GGGATCGGTTGTTTGTCCGAAGGTCATTTGAATCTTAATTATATAGTATGTGTATGTATATAGATATAAAAGTTCATCCTTCAATTCAATACCTTTGGGTAGCAAAGGTGTACAAACATGTTCATTCATACAAACAACATTGCTAGTAAACTATAATAGGTATAATTTAGGAAGTCACTAATACTATTACTAGAACAACGAAACATACAAAGAGTCAGTTCATACATGAGTCAATACATACTATAACGAGAAACAATACTCACTATAAAGAGAAACAGATAGAGAATACTATAACGAGAAACAATACTCACTATAAAGAGAAACAGATAGAGCATACTATAACGAGAATCAATAGATACTACACACTATACACTAAAGAACATACTACATACTAGACAGAGAGAGCATACATTACACTAGTACATACTATACAAATACAAGAATACTATAACATTAATATGAGATACTACTTCATGGCTCAACATATACTGCTGCGTCACGTTTTGTACCCAAAGTCTCCTGGAGGAAGAGCGTGAATTTATGTATAGATCTATACGGGACTGACCCTCCTACACCTTGCTGCTAACTACAGTGGGACCTGCAGGTCTGCGAGTGACGAATGTCATATCATTTCGACGTCTCGAACGTCGGGTTATACTGGTCAATCGAGTATGGTTACAATCATATCACATTTTACCTTAATTAACTAACAAGTTTAAAGGTAGTTAGTACATTAGTAGTTACCTAGATAAAACTACAGTACATCTTTATTTTTCCCAATTTATTCACATTGTGATCTTCTCACATAAACGGTAATGAGAAACTATATTTTGGTAATGATAGTCATACTTTGGGAAAACTCACACTTTTACAAAAGAACAAACATAGAGAACAATTGAGTCTTGGTAGAAGACTACTTTAGTAGAAAATATAGGATTTTCTAGGAAGTTTACAAACATTTACATCAAATACTTACAAACTTTTACATCAAACATTTACAAGTACATTCTTCAAACTTATACAAACAATGACACTAAAATACTTATGAACTCACCAGCTTTAATGCTGATCTATGCTTTCAAAATAACTTGTATTCTCAGGTCACCAGTAGACAGGTACCGATGACCAGGTTTTTGAGAAGATGGAGCACGATCAAGACTCATCTCTTATTTTGATTTTTCATTTTTGGTGTCTTATAAACTTCAGAACACACTTGTATTAAAATATTACTATTAATGCAATGGATGATGTTGTTGCTTGTTTACTATTATGCATTGTTGTGATACTGTACATGACGTCCTCCGCCCCCGATCGTTTCCGCCGTTCCAGTTTTGGGGTGTGACATAAAATCACGCCGCGTATAATGTCGGAGTATGCCGCGGGTAAAAAATAAAAGCACGCTGCACATAATGTCGGAGTGCGCCGCACACGTGGTCGGCCAATGGCGTGTTGCTCTCTGAGTGGTGCCAGGTTTCGCGATTTCCATGGAGAGTCAGAAGCGTGCCACGCCCTCTGTTTAGGCGTGCGTCTGTGTGCAAATTTTTCTGTTTTCTTAAATAATTCAAATCTTCTTCTTCATATGAGCTTTGTTTTCTACGAGTTTTATTTTCACGCGTAGCTATCGATGAGATCTATAACTATCTTTTAGAGTCCATCGACTAATTTTGACTTTATTTTTAAACTTATATTTTTACAGGCTTAGACTGTTAAAGTCGATGTAAAAATCATAACTCTCTTATACAATATCCGATCTCGGCTATCTTTATATTAACGGACTCCTATTAACGAGATCTTCGATTGTCTCTTAGATTGTTTTTCCTAACAATCAATGTTTTAAAACCCGGATCGACCCAGCCGGTCTAACCGGTTGGACCGTGACCCGGGGTAGAAGGCGAGTCAATTGAGAGCGGTTTTTTGGAAAAATACGGACCGGATCAAACCGGCCGGGTTTTCCCTAAACCGCGGTCGAACCGTTTATGTTGAACCGGTTAAAACCGGATTTACCCATTTTAATAGGACTTGGATAGTTGGATACAAGTAGCGAACGCCAAAACAACGAGCCATTTGCGGCTTCTTCGATGTTTTTCAATGTTTAAACTTTGTGGACATCAAATTATTGGTTTTATATGTTTATGCATTATGCAGGAAAGTAAAAATTATAAAAATAGAAAAAGACCATAAACCGGGTTAACCCGGTGGTTCAATCGGTTGAACCGGTTGACCCGTGAACCGGTCATCACACCGGGTCAACTAAAAACCCGGGTTTTAAAACATTTCTAACAATCGATCGATTTCAATTTCGGTTTCTGAGCCGTATACTAATACGCTGAAATATTAGAAAAATCATAACTTTGTTTCACGAAGTCAGATTTGGGCGTTCTCTATAAGCACGCTCTCGGTTTAACGACTACTATGACTTTCATTTAAATCTCTTTGGCTAAAAAATAATTTATCAAAAAATCATTTTTTACGATTCGCAGAGCTGAACCGGTTTAATCGCGAAACTTCGAAGAATCATAACTTTTTCATATGAAGTCGGATTTCAGCGTTCTATATATGTACAAAATCCTTGTCAAATAGACTATAACTTTAGTTAAAATTATTTATCATAAATAATCTTTTATCAAAAACTCATTTTTAACGTTTAATATATCTTTAATTGACTGAAAGAAATAAAACTTTTGAGATGTCCCTGGAATGAAAATGTAGGTGTTACACCTGTCTCTCCCTACTACAGTAAGTAGGAAGATGTATGTAAACATCTCTCTCTCTCGTGAGTTAGATTTTGTAATTATATGCAAAAAAAAAAAAAAAAAACTTCTTTTTTTTTTATACTTTGTTAGGTGAACAAATTTATGTCTTATTCATTATTACTTATTATTTGCAAAGGAAAAATATAGAACCATACCACTAACTAAATGCCAATAACTAAGCACTAATATCATATATAAAACTAGGTGACTAATAAAAAATAATTTAGTATGGCTAGAAGTTTATAATATAAAATATATAGTCAATTTATTATTTTATTTTGTAAAAAATTAGTGTCTTTGTTATTTGTTAATTTGTCATGTATTTTATTATTTTATTATATAATTTATAAACTTTTACTTAATTTTTTATATAGTCTATAACTCTATATCAACATGAAAAGCAGTCCATTGTTTATTTTTTTTAATTTATTTAAATTGTTTTATTTCCTAGTGTTAATTTCGGCCCCCTTAGTTTTGTGTTTCGTCCCCGCGTAACCCTTTTTTTACTACAAATTCTTAAGCGTGTCGGTTACAATATCTTTCATAAGAGGATTCCGTTGCATATTCTTAAGTATTAAGCAACAGAGAAACAAAACAAAAACAGCAGAGAAACCCCAAATCCAATACGTGCAGCGAGTGAGAATCGAATTTTCTAGTGCCAATATGGACGGGCCACCAGCAAACGACTGTTGTGCAATCTGCCATGGCAACTTCCATATCCCGCATCAAGCCAATTGCTCTCATTGGTATTGCGGTAAGTGTTCATATCCTAATCAATTGTTCGCGTTCTTTTCTAAAATAACATTACGAAGATCGCATTCAGTCCATTTGGAAGCAGATTTGGAGAATCCCCGTATATCCGTTGTTTATTTCGTCAATTGAAGTTTCTGTGTGTGCATAGGGCAAACCACGCTATTCCCATTCGGGGAATTAGGGTTTTGGCATGAAGATTATAGCTGTATGTTTGAGGATATTTTGTCATCTGTTCAAGGGTGTGCATATGAATTTTGATCACATTAATAACTAATATGCATCTTTCCCCTCTCTCTGTTAGGAAATTGCATTTTAGAAGTTTGGAATCATGGATCTGCATTACAGCCATGTAAATGCCCTCTTTGTCGTCGCCACATTACTTTGTTGGTTCCTAGCCATGAATCCTCTGAGCAAGCTGATAATCCCGAAGCTTCTGAGGTTATAAGAAAGATTGAATCTTATAACCGAATCTTTGGTTCACATTCAACAGGACTAAGCCAGGTAACTAATCATTATAATATCCACCAAAAAGTTAAGAAAGAAACTAATCATATTTCTTTAAGATCCATATTCAAAGTCTTTTTTATTTTATTATTATTTTTTTTTTTTTTGCAGAGACTGCAGGACCTCCCGTTTCTGATCAAAAGATTGTTCCGAGAAGTGATGGATCCTCAAAGATCTCTCCCGTTTGTCATCAAAGCACGCGTATTTCTGGCAGTGAGTTAATAATAATAATAAATTTCATTTTATTGCATATATATGAATATGATTGCTCACTAGTTACTGGTTACTACCACGACAATTTACTATTTTTTTTTTCATACACAGCTTTTATCAACTGTCATTTATGTACTCAGCCCAGTGGACATTATCCCCGAAGGTATGGTTTTCAACTCAGATCAACTTACATAGATTGCTAAATGCCTACAGACTTAAAAAGATTGATAGAATGTTTTCCTAATTTTGACAGCATTATTTGGAATACTTGGTCTATTGGATGATGTCATTATCGCCCTCATCTTCTTCCTTCATGTTGGCACCTTGTATCGAGCTATACTCGTGCGTCGTTATGGAGGATCTTCAACGTGAAATTTCAAACTGTATGATAATGGACATGGTTGTCTTAGTTTTGAGACTTTATTTTGAACCAAATTATCAATTAGATATAAATATTTTCATGTTTTGGTTGTTGGTTATCTGCTTCCCATTTGTGAAGTAAGACAGGTCTGACAAAACATGCGGTACTGTAACTGGGATAAAGATAGATGTAAATGAGACGGAATTACAAGCTTTTTTCCCACTCTAAAGGTCGGACTAAAACTCGCTCTCAATCACTTGTCTATGCAAAAGACTTGAATGCCCTCATTTTCATTATTAAAAATAGCTCTAAAAAGTTTTGTTGGAAACAAATGGGTATCTAGTTTCTCGACAAGTTGGTGATTTCATTAGCAAGTTCTTCAATATTCAAAAAAGATGATCCATCAACATCTGTAGCTAATTCCGCCATTTCTTCCATTCCATAGCTTTCTTCTTCATCCTTTTCCCCTCAATTTCCTCCATTAACCACCTTACAAGCTTTTCAACTTCATCCCTCTTCACATTCCGGTCAATCTCCATTCCGACCTCCCAATTCCGACACATTTGCCTACAATTGATTCCTTGGTCATGGGAAACCGGCCAACATAACATCGGTACACCAGCCGACAAGCTCTCGATCACCGACCCCCACCCACCGTGGGTCAAGAACCCGCCAACTGAAGGGTGTTTCAGCACCTCTTCTTGTGAACACCAGCTTGCGATAAAACCTCTCGTTTTAACTGCCGCCATGAATTCCGGCGGCAAAACCTCCAAAACACCATCTACCAAATCATTCCGGATTATCCAAAGAAAATAATGGTTGCTGTTAGCAAGTCCCCAACCTAATTAAAGTAAATCATGTAGAGACATTACTGCTAGACTCCCAAAGTTGACATACACGACCAAGTTCGGTTCCTTTGACTCGAGCCACTCGATGCACCCGGGCTCTTCCTTCCATAAACTATAGCCATTAGAACTCGAATTTGGGGTTTCATTTTCTGTGATTTGATTAAGAAGTAATTGTAGAGGCCCGACAGTGTAGATCTTAGGAAAGATGGATTTAAGCTCTTTGACTAGATTAGCTTCTAATTCGTCAAAAGTTTGGATGATCATGTGTGAAACTTTATCGGCTGTCCTGGCTGCTTCCAGCACAAAATTGTATGCGGGGTCATCTGGGTTTGTGACTAACACATGTTCTTGTAGATCCTTCAAACGGGTTCCTTCCATTCCTGGAATCCAATCTATTTCGGTATCAGTGTACCCGTTTTTCAAATCACTTTCATCTGCATGAACAACAAGTTCAATGAGTGGTTGTCAAATACAATTTTCATGGGGTTTGTTTGGTTGGATGGAATGAGAGACTAAGAAGTAGGAAACCTAACCTTTAAGCGGGAGAACTCCTTTATCCGTTAGAACTTTCGTCTGGTAAGTCGCCATGAACCCACAAGCTGCAAGGGTCCAGTAAAGGATGATCGGAATTTTGAGCTTCTCAGCAGCATAAACAGTGTTTGTGAATGTCATGAAGCCATCTGAGATAATCCAAGTCGGTGGATTTTCAAGTCCAGCTACAAGATCAAGAAAGGAACCCAAGAAATTGGGCAAAAGGTACAGAAACAGTTGCTCTGCGGTTTGATTTGGTTCAGTGTCGTCATCACAAGGGAGACCATCTGGAACCGTTTTAAATTCAAAACCAAGAGCCACGGCTAGACCATGAAACCCACCGTACTTTACAAGGCGCTTTTGGTTGGACTCGGTGTTGACGAAGGTTATGTGAAGGCCCTTGTGATGCAGTAGCCTTGCTAGTTTAATCATACACTTGATGTGGCTTTGTGTTGGAAATGGTATAAACACCACATGAGGCTTTTTCTGATCGTTTCGGGGTTCTGGCTCCATCTCTGTGGCTGTTACTGTGTGTGTTTTTAGGTGCCATGAAAGGTGTTATATACGTGGCATTAGAAGAATCTTAATGAAATCATTGGTGCCATCGATAATCTTGTTTGAACGCATTTGTCTTTTTAATTTGTACTTTTGGCGTTTAAGATGAAAACTTGTGCCGACAGCCAAGTATTATAAACTCATAACGTAACAATTGTAGGGACTCGATTGGTATTATACAATTCAGAATTTTCAACAATGGTTGAAAATCATATATAAACAATAATGTTCTGGCAAAATTGTTGATATCATCGATGACAATGCAACAATATGTGCTCCCTTTATGATTGTAGAAACGTAATAATGATAACATATATTAGTACAAATTGTTGTGATACCTTTATATGAGACTGTTTGAGTAAAATATAGTATTTTTTAAAGAGAGAATGTTAGCAAATAGTAACGAAATTTAATAATTTGTTATGTATCCTTGACTTTTAAAAAAAAAAAAAAAATTACCTGCTAAACTTTAATTTTGTTTTACTTTTGTGAGAGTAGGCAACTTAATAACTTGTAAGCTATTAAATCAGTGGCATTGCACTGGTATTATAAATAAGCTGTGTTTGTTTGTCACGTATCTTACAACGGTAATCGGTAAGCACGTCCTATATATAAATGTTTATATATGTTGAAGTCCCTTCTTTCTATTAGACTTTTTTAGAAAGTAAACTGAAGAGATTTCTTATAATATTTCTAATTTTAACAATATTTTTTTGGAATACTTGGTTTATTGGATGCTTTCATTATGGCCCTCATCTTCTTCCTTCACGTTGGTACCTTGTATTGGACTATACTTATGCATCACTATGTAGGATCTTCAACGTGACATTTCAAATCTCAAATGAAATTTGTATGCTAATGGAGAAGGTTATCTTATTTTTGACACTTTCTATTTTGAACCAAAAATCAGTTAGATACCAACGTATTTGTGTTTTGGTTTGTTAGTTAGCCCTTCCCTTTTGTTCCTTTATACAGAGCATCATTAAGGCCCTTCCTTTTGTTCCTTTATACAGAGCATCATTAAGGCGACATGGTTGGACATTAGTTTGCATAAATAGGACTAGAATCAAAACCGTGTCGATTAAAACAAAAATTGTAAACTTTTTGTCCCATCTAAAAAATGAAACAAGGTGGGAAAGAGACTCACTAGATCTCCATCTCTCATCTATGTGAAAGGCATGAATGTCATCACACTCATCATCGATGATAGCCTATAAAGCTTATCGAGTCCAATTCACTCCCATCTTTTCCTATTTAGTTATGTCGTGTGTAACAAATGCAAATTAACTCCAGTTTCTTTTCTTTTTTGTTCCATAAACACTTACACATGTGGAATCATAAACAAATATTGGGTATCTAGTTTCTTGACATGTTTGTGATTTCATTGGCAAGTTCTTCGATATTCAAAGACGAACATCCATTACAATCTGTCGCAATTTCCGCCATGTTCTTCCACTCCATGGCCTTCTTCCTCATTCTTTTACCCTCAGTTCCCTCCATTAATGCCTTTACAAGCTTCTCAACTTCACCCCTCTTCGAATTCCTCTCGATCTCCATTGCGACCTCCCAATTCTGGCACATTTGCCGACAGTTAACCATTTGGTCATGAGAAACTGGCCAACATAACATCGGCACACCCGCAGATAGGCTCTCGATCACTGAACCCCAACCACCGTGAGTCAAAAACCCACCAACCGAAGGGTGGTTGAGGACCTCTTCTTGTGAACACCAATTTGCAATAAAACCTCTCGTTTTAACAGCCGCCTCAAATTCCAATGGTAGAATTGCTGATCCCCCGTCAACCATATCAGTCCTGATTATCCAAAGAAAATAATGGTTGCTATTAACAAGTCCCCAACCTAATTCTAGTAAGTCTTGTAGAGACATTACTGCTAAACTTCCAAAGTTGACATACACCACCGAGTTTGGTTCCTTTGACTCGAGCCACTCGATGCACGTGGGTTCTTCATTCCACAAACTATAGCCATTAAAACTTGAGCTTTTAGTCTGGTTGGTCTGGTTCAAAAGTAATTGTAGAGGTCCAACTGTGTAGATTCGAGGAAATATTGATTTAAGTTCTTTGACAAGAGTAGCTTCTAATTCGTCGAAAGTATGGAGGATCATGTGTGAAACTTTATCGGCTGTCCTAGCTGATTCCAACAGATAATTATATGCAGGATCATCGGCGCTTGTGGCTAACATATGTTTGGGTAGATCCCTCAAACGGACTCCTTCCATTCCCGGAATCCCATCTATAAGGGTATCAGTGTACCCGTTATTCAAATAACTTTCATCTGCATAAAGAAGAGTAGAAGACATATACAATTAATCGTCAAATAGGATTTTCATGAACATTATGGACATATTTAGTTGGATGGAATGGAATGAACGTGCAATTCCTTTTCCAATTACGCCATATACCAAACAATATCTAAGCTTTGATAATTCAGGGATAAATTAGCTAGGATAGTTAACCTTTGAGCGGGAGAAGTCCTTTGTCAGTCAGAACTTTGGTCTGGTAATAGGCCATGAATCCAGAAGCTGCAAGGGTCCAGTAAAGGATGATCGGGATCTTGAGCTTAGCAGCAGCTTTAACAGTGTCTGTGAAAGTCATGAAACCATCTGAGATAATACAAGTCGGTGGACTTTCAAGTCCAGCTACAAGATCAAGAAAGGAACCCAAGAAATTGGTCAAAAGGTACACGAAGAGTCGCTCTGCCTCTGCGGATTGATTTCGCTCAGTGTCGTCATCAGAAGGGAGACCATCTGGAATGGTTTTGAATTGAAAACCAGGAGCCGTGTCTAGACCATGCAACCCACTGTACTTGAGAAGGCGCTTGTGGCTTGACTCGGTGTTGACAAAGGTTATGTGAAGACCCTTGTGGTGCAGAAGTCTTGCTAGTTTGAGCATACACTTGATGTGGCTTTGTGCTGGAAATGGTATAAACACCACATGAGGCTTCTTCTCATCAATTCTAGACTCTGGGTCCATCTCTAGCTGCGGGGAGTTGCCGTGTGTTTTTGGGTGCTATGAAAGGGTGTTATATTAATATACGTGTCATTAGGAGAAACTTAATGTAGGCATTGGTGGCATCGACAATCTTGTTTGGACATGGTTTTTTTTGTGCTTTTGGCCTTTAAGTTATCAAATTGAATATTTAAAGGTGAAATCATGTGATTACCTAAGTGTAATTAACTCATAATGTAACGATTGTGGATATTCGATTAGTGTTATGTATACGATTCAGATATAGACAGCTAAGTTCCAACAATAGCTAAATAAACATAGACAACAACAATGTTCTGGCAAAATTGTTGATCGATGCTACCGATGACTATTCCCTCGGATTGTAGAAAGTTCATGTTGTAGATTCTGTAGCATATATGAATACAAAATCTTGTGTTTTTTCTGGAATTTTCCCTGATTAATAACCAAGTTCAGGATCATTGCATGTTATTGTGTTCTTTTGAGTTCATGTCATCTTTAAGAAAAATAAAAATAAAAAGATGTAAACAAAGTTTGTACATTCATAAAATTTAACAATCATCATACAATTTTAGAAAAATAAAAAATTTCAGAAAATAAAACAATATTTTAATTTGAATGATTGTCATATCTGATTTGAAATCAATAAAGTGATAATGATCTCCACAATCATTCGACATTCCACATTCTGTGGCACACTAAATTCCACTTGCCTCTATATGCAACACAAAGATGGAAGCAGTGCCCAGAATTGCTCAGAAACCTCATGTCGTGTTCATACCGTTACCTGCACAAAGCCACATCAAGTGTATGCTCAAACTAGCCAGGATTCTGCACCACAAGGGCCTCCACATAACATTCGTCAACACCCAGTCCAATCACAAACGCCTTCTCAAGTACGGTGGGTTTCATGATCTTGACGGTGTTCCTGGTTTTCAATTCAAAACGGTTCCAGATGGTCTCTCTTCCACTTCTGACGACGATCATGATCCAACTCAAACCCTCGTTGAACTTTCCGCGTACCTTACGATCAATTTCTTGGATGCTTTTCTTGAAATTGTAGCTGGACTTGAAACTCCGGTAACTTGTATAATCTCCGACGCTTTCATGACTTTCGCTCAAACCCCTTATGCTGCTGAGAAGCTCGGAGTCCCCATCATCCTTTTCTGGACCATGGCTGCCTGCGGGTTCATGGGGTTTTACCAGGCAAAAGTTCTATCGGAGAAAGGAGTTGTCCCACTTAGAGGTAATTAGCTTTCTAGTCCATAAACATTATCATCTTTTCCTTTGGCATTTGTAATTAATCCATCTTGTATTGTTTTTGCAGATGAGAATTGTTTGACAAATGGATATCTTGATACCTTGATAGATATTCCCGGAATGAAAGAGATCCGTTTAAGGGATCTACCGGAACATATCTGGGGCGTAGGGCCAAAATCTTCGGCTTTAAAATTCATTGTCCAAATCGCACATGATGCTGATAAGATTTCACACATGATTATCCATACTTTTGATGAATTAGAGAGAACTCTCATCAAAGAGTTTAAATCCATGTTTCCACATGTCTACACCATTGGGCCACTGCAATTACTTTCGAACCAGATGACAGAAAAAGAAACCAAGAGCTCGACTTTCAATGGTTATAGCTTATGGAAGGAAGAACCCGAATGTTTCCAATGGCTTCATTTGAAGGAACCGAATTCTGTGGTGTATGTCAACTTTGGAAGTCTAGCAGTAATGTCTGTAAAAGATTTGCTTGAATTAGGTTGGGGACTTGTTAACAGTAACCACAATTTTCTTTGGATAATCAGGGATGATTTGGTTGATGGTGGGTGTGCAGTTTTGCCATTAGAACTGGAGGAAGTGGTTAAAGAAAGAGGGTTTATAGGAAGCTGGTGTTCACAAGAGGAGGTGTTGAACCACCCTTCGGTTGGTGGGTTCTTGACTCATGGTGGGTGGGGTTCGGTCATTGAGAGCTTGTCTGCTGGTGTACCAATGATATGCTGCCCGTTCACAGGTGACCAACGGACTAATTGCAGACAAATGTGCAAGGAATGGGAGGTGGGGATGGAGATGGGGAGGGACGTGAAGAGGGATGAAGTAGAGAAGCTTGTGAGGGAGTTAATGGATGGAAGCGGGGGGAGGATGAAAAACAAGGCAATGGAGTGGAGGAAAATGGCGGAAATGGCGACAGATCTTGCCGGTTCGTCGTTTCTAGATGTTGAAAAACTGGTTACCGAAATTGGCGTGCTTTCAAAAAAGTAGATTCATGTTGCTTTTAGGGGTAGTGGGGACGTTTTTTAAGGGTATCAACAGTGGATTAAACTTTATAGAGTTCAATGGATTGTCTCCTCATCCTTCTACATTCCATACAACTCATTAAATTTTTTCCTACAATGCATTAAACTTTACAAAATTCCATGAAACATTACAAAATAATTTATAATATTTATTTAAGAGTTTAAAAACATTCATTTTTTTTTCAATTAGAGAGTTCAAATAACTATTGAACTACAAATCCATTGAATGACAAATTGACAATATGACATCTTGATCACAATGCAAGAGTTGTATCTAATATTGAATAACAACTATATTTGTCCCATCATTCAATTTCCCCATTAAACTCATCATTATGGATTCTCTTTCCTCGTATGAAAAAATATGATGAAATATCATTTTTTTTGTTAACGTGGCAAATAAATGAAGCAAACAATACATAAGAAGAAAATGTTGTTAAGAAATAAATAGGAATTAATGAACAAAATCTTCTTCATCTTTGATGGTTGTGTAATGTATATAAAGAAAACAAAAATAAATGAAAATAGTCCATAGAAACTCACAATCTCGACCTTGATGATCATATATGACCTACCTCGCACCCGACACCTATACTCGCCCCAACACCCTCACACACACCAACAAGTAAAAACATATGTACATAACCACACCAACATTAACAAGTCAATGCCAATGCTCACCCTATCCTACCCCTATCCCCACATACATTTGAGTGGGTAAATTTGAGTGAGTAAGACCGTATGAGTTTAATTAATGAGAGTTTTATCATTTTATTAAAATGAATAGTAATTTACATAAAATTAATTTTAGTCATATTATATAAGTTACCTTCCAATATTTTTGACAAATATGTAAACCAAACATAAAACAAATTTCATTACGTATCAATCAAATACATAAAAGATTATAATTAATTCCTTCAAATTTCAATTCTTTTCAAAAACATTATACGAACCAATTTTCCAAATTAATAACCATGTTCATAATTATTTCATGTTATTTTGATCTTTCAATTTCATGTCATCTTTGAGAAAAAATAAAGAAAAAGATGTAAATAAAGTTGGTACATTCACCCGTTAAAATTTAATAATTATCATATAATTTTATATATAATTTTATAGAAGTAAAAAGTTTCAGAAAATAAAACATTATTTTAATTTGAATGGTTAAATCTCAAAAAAAGAAAAAAAAAAGTTAAAAAAAACTAAAAATAAAGCAAAAACTAAACTTAATCACTATTCTAGGTTTATGTTCTTTTGTTCACGTGTTTGCAGTCGCTTCACTTCTGTTGGCAGTTTGCTGTTGCTTTTTAGTTTTAGACTTCTTTTCTTTTGGTGCTGGCTGTGTTTATTTTCTTGGTTTATCTTCTTTTGTTCAGCTACTTGCTGGCTTCTTTTTCTTTTTTCTAATAATATTTTATTGCCGCTCAATAAAAAAAAAACTTAATTACACTCTTATTCAATAAGATTGTCGTATCTACTATGAAATCAATAAAGTGATAAGAGGTCTCCACAATCATTCGACTTTGTCAACAGACATTCCACATACAATGATGGAAGGAGTACCCAGAATTGCTCAAAAGCCTCATCATGTGGTGTTCATACCGTTTCCAGCACAAAGCCACATCAAGTGTATGCTTAAACTAGCCAGGATCCTGCACCACAACGGCCTTCACATAACCTTCGTCAACACCCACTCCAACCACAAACGCCTTCTCAAGTACGGTGGGTTTCATGATATTGACGGTGTCCCTGGTTTTCAATTCAAAACGGTTCCAGATGGTCTCCCTTCCACTTCTGACGACGACGATCATGATCCAACTCAAACCATCGTTGAACTCGCCAGGTACCTTACGACCAATTTCTTGTCTCCCTTTCTTGAAATTGTTGCCGAACTTGAAACTCCGGTAACTTGTATAATCTCCGACGCTTTCATGACTTTCGCTCAAACCCCTTATGCTGCTGAGAAGCTCGGAGTCCCCATCATCCTTTTCTGGACCATGGCTGCCTGCGGGTTCATGGGGTTTTACCAGGCAAAAGTTCTATCGGAGAAAGGAGTTGTCCCACTTAGAGGTAATTAGCTTTCTAGTCCATAAACATTATCATCTTTTCCTTTGGCATTTGTAATTAATCCATCTTGTATTGTTTTTGCAGATGAGAATTGTTTGACAAATGGATATCTTGATACCTTGATAGATATTCCCGGAATGAAAGAGATCCGTTTAAGGGATCTACCGGAACATATCTGGGGCGTAGGGCCAAAATCTTCGGCTTTAAAATTCATTGTCCAAATCGCACATGATGCTGATAAGATTTCACACATGATTATCCATACTTTTGATGAATTAGAGAGAACTCTCATCAAAGAGTTTAAATCCATGTTTCCACATGTCTACACCATTGGGCCACTGCAATTACTTTCGAACCAGATGACAGAAAAAGAAACCAAGAGCTCGACTTTCAATGGTTATAGCTTATGGAAGGAAGAACCCGAATGTTTCCAATGGCTTCATTTGAAGGAACCGAATTCTGTGGTGTATGTCAACTTTGGAAGTCTAGCAGTAATGTCTGTAAAAGATTTGCTTGAATTAGGTTGGGGACTTGTTAACAGTAACCACAATTTTCTTTGGATAATCAGGGATGATTTGGTTGATGGTGGGTGTGCAGTTTTGCCATTAGAACTGGAGGAAGTGGTTAAAGAAAGAG